AACATTCTAAATTTTCCACTGCGTTTTATATCGTTTTTTCTTAATTTGTGACATTTCGATCTGTTTGTTCCCATAGAATACTGTACTTGTTTGCGGAGGAAACCATCAGCCAGCCATAGCCATGCAGGAAGCGCTCGTCTCTCCGGCCAACGCCGACCGCCTCCGCTCGGCCTTCGAGCTCAAGCCGTACGCCTTCGGGGACCAGCGCCTCTCTTCCTCGCCGCGCTACCTCCCGGGCGGCGACGACGGCCTGTACCGCTGCTCCTCCCCCTTCAGCCCCAGCCTGGGCTTCTCCTCGCCGTCGCCGCTCACCACATCCGTCTCGCTCTCGCCGTCCTCGTCCGGCTCCCTCGTCGACGACGGAGACTACGACGGCGCCGCTGCCGCCGATGCCACCGGCCACAGGCTCCAGCTCGCGCGGCTCGCGCTGCAGTACCAGGAGGTGGCCGATCGCTACGAGCTCTGTCTGTCCCACCTCGCCGAGGCCGTCGACGAGGCGGCGATCCTCCGCCGCGAGAATGCCGAGCTCCGCGTGGCCAACAACGACCTCGCGCGCCGCGTCGCGCTGCTCGGTGGCAAGGAGACCGCCGCCGTCGTCATCGCTGACGAGATACGCCGGTTCCGCCTCGGCGAGCACAAGGGTGCCTCCAAGCAGCGCGCGCCTGAGAAGCTCGCCGTGCTGCCAAAGAGCATCTCCGTCCGTTCGAATGACTACCTCAAGATGAACCAGGCCGCCCCGGCAGCCGCCACGCCGGCGGCGTACAACCGCAAGCCGAGCTCGGTGAGTCCCTGCTCCCGCCTCGCCAATTCCGCATAATCTCCTCCTCTCGAATTGGCATTTGACATTGTCGCACGCACCTGGATCGGCAGCAGCGCGCGTACGCGGGACTAGGGGCGGACGGCGGCAAGAAAGGCGAGGAGCAGAAGACCAAGCAAGACGCGGCGGGGGAGCTGGACGTGTACAACCAGGGCATGTTCAAAACAGAGCTGTGCAACAAGTGGGAGGAGACGGGGGCGTGCCCCTACTGGGACCAGTGCCAGTTCGCGCACGGCGTCTCCGAGCTCCGCCCCGTCATCCGCCACCCGCGATACAAGACCGAGGTCTGCCGCATGGTGCTCAACGGCGAGGTGTGCCCCTACGGCCACCGCTGCCACTTCCGCCACTCGCTCACGGCCGCCGAGCGCCTCCTCCGCAGCCGTTGAGGCAGTGCACGCCTCTTCCGCCACAGTCTGAACCCCTTTTTACCGTCTCAAATCAAGCCTACGCATACACGGGAAAATGTACAAAAATACCAACGGCGTAAATAAGATATATGTATTATGATAAGTATATAATATAAGAACGTAAATGAAACCGAACGGTAGAGTTAATGCCCAGCAGCCCAGGCAATGTGAATATCTGCGTATGCAGGAGTAGCCGTCTCTCAGGGACTTGTTCATATACATTATATATGTCGTCGGTGTTGGTTTTAGGTGACAATTTGTCTCCAAATGTATTTCGAGGGAACGCGGGAAGATCGACATGGTACAATAAAGTCAGTGAGAGTGTAGATTGGCGAACTGGCAAGTGCTGCGAAGTTGAGGTGACACGCATGTTTTCTTGTTTATATTATGAGCAGTAGATCTTGTATAGCAGCTCTATTGCTTTCTTCAGATTACCTTGTTGCTCTTGCAATTTTCTTCGTAATGTCAGTCATTTTTGCAGTATATATAAGTTGGCATCTTTCTCAGTACCAACACAAGTTCCCGATTTGTCCCCAAAAACTCTGTTGTCTGTAAATCTTTAGTTATCGATGAATGGATAACTGTTTACTCCGCTGTGTCTGACTTTCTATGTATGCCTTTTCGGATGTACTCTTGGCAAATCAGAAGGCCGCTACGTTTCGGTAAAGAACCTCAACCTGCCTAACTTGTGCATGATCGGTACTGACGACTGCGGTTTTGCAGCTTGAAGTGTAAGCTACCTAACTCGCTTGTAAAAGGCTATGAATGTAAAATGCACGCCCTGTCCAGCAAGGCAACAACAAAGCCATAATATTATATCAGCATACCCCAAAAAAATGTATTCCGTTTAAACATCGGCAATCTTATCTGACTGACGTTCACTGGAAGAGCAGGGCATTTCCAATGTTTTTTCTGTCTGTGTTAGTTGTATCAAGGGTGACAGTTTCTTCAGAATAACATGGCATTTTTTTTGGGTGGATGATAATTTTGAGCTTTCCTTTTCAGAAAATGTCATGTTGTTCTAAAGAAACTGCCACCACACGACCAATTAAAATTGTCATCAAAATGTTCGCAAATATCACCCCCTCCCAGCAAACGGTCAGCCATATAAGAGGTCTTAAATATTTTTTAATAAGTGACACTTTATTACTTAAAAGGTTTAAGGTCCTTAAACATTTGGCTGCTTAATTCTGAAGCCTTTCTTTCAGAGGTCCTTAAGCATACCCTCCACCTACCGCAAGCTTTGGCCCTCCTTCTTTATTTCTTCTTTCTTTCCGCGATTTGGCTGCTCGTTTCACTGGTTTTCTATTGGTTTTTATTTTCTACTTCTTCCTGCTTGTTTTTTCCACTTTTCATTTTTTGCGTATTTTTTTTTCAAAAATTCAGAATATTTATAAAATTCAGAAAAACTTTTAAAATTCTCTAATAATTTTAAATTCATTAAAAATAACTCTCAATTACTTTTGAAATACAAACACATTTTTATTGCCTGTTCTTTCTAATTTAGTTTCAAATTTCTCAATATTTTTTAATTCGTGAAATAAAGTTTGAAACTCGTGCAATTTTTTTATTTTTTAAACACATTTCCTAAAATATGAACACTTTTCAAATTATTAATCATTTTTAAAATTCATGAACATTTTTAGAGGGAAAAAAGGGGGCCAGCCCTCCCTAGGTGCATCCTGTATACGGTTTGGCACACTACTAACTCGCTAAGAAAACAATAACAAGTAACACAAGAACCAGGAAATCCACGGAGGAGGTGATCGAGTACGTCGGGCTATGGTGCAAACTCCAGGGTATCACCCTCACCCCTGAGCCCGATTGCATCACATGGCGATGGACTGCGAACGACGTTTACTCTGCCAGCTCGTGCTATAGGGCTCTCTTCCATGGGTCTACCTCGCCGCCATGCTGGTGTCTTCTATGGAAGAGTTGGGCCCGCTAGACAACAAGATCTTCCTTTGGCTTGCGTCCCTCGACAGGTGCGCCGAGCGCGCCATGACCTTACACAAGACACGACCTGCACCCTTTGCTCTCAGGGGACCGAGTCCATTAACCATCTACTCTTTGGATGTGTGTTCTCTAGGATCACCTGGCACGAAATTCTATCATGGTGCCTTTACCATCCCACCAATGGACAGTGAGACTACCTTCTTCGCGTGGTGGTCCATGGTTGTTGAAGCATCTCTGAGCTGCCTACGGAAGGGACTAAACTCCATCGTTCTGCTAACCACCTGGGCCATTTGGAAGCACCACAACGCTGCTATTTTTGAAGGCCTACATCCCTCCACCGACGACCTGGTACTCTCGATCAAGGACGACGCCCGTCTATGGACCAAGGCGGGCACAAAAGGATAAACTACGATTATACATGTAACCTGAACTATATGTTTCGAGGCTAAGCATCCTCCTCCCACTTCTCGTCCCTGCAACCTCCCAGACGCCTGATTGTGTACGTCTGTGAGCTGGCACCTTGTAATCTGTACTCCCCTTCTATCTATTAATGAAATGATACGTTGCTAAGCTTATTCACCAAAAAAAGGAAACCCACGGAGATGGTGAGCTCATCGCAGCAGCAGAGACTGGTGGAGTCCAACCGTCCGTGGGAGCAAAACAAGCCAATGACGATCAACTTCAAAAAACCATAGATGAACTCTGCAAATATCATAACAGACCAAAGGCCCAGCAAAACACACTAACAAAGAGTGTTGCCTCTTCGCTCGGGGTGAGGAGTACATGGCTCAGTCAAGCGCCCTGACGAGGGCATGATTTGTTTTTAGTTTCTAATTTTTCATATTTTTTTTCCTTTTCTTTCTTCGCTTTTAAATTTTTATGTAAATTTTTGGAAATCCAGAATATTTATAAAATTCACAACACTTTTTAAGTTTCAGTAATAATTTTAAATTCATTAAAAATTAACTCTCAATCATTTTGAAATACAAACTCATTTTTTTGTTGGTAAACATTTATTTATTTTTTATTTGTCAAAAAAATTAATCCATGAAACAATTTTGAAAATTCATGCAAATTAAAAAAAGTTTAACATTTTCCCTAATCCATGAACAAATTTCAAACTATTTACCCTTTTAAAAAAATTAAAGGGAAAAAAGGAATTGATAGGCAGTTTTCGGCAAGGATTTCACTACAACTGCGGTTAGATGTTTAGATAGATATTTTGTTAGCAAGAAAATTGGTAATAAGTAACAAAAGTAATAAGTAACAAAAGTAGTAAGGTGTAACAAGTGACCCAACCCTTAACTTGCTAAGGACAAGCCAATGATAACTCTTATAGTGATTAAAACGCTCTTAAGGACACTCGAGAATATCCTCAAGTTTTTCTTTTCAATATCGTCAAGTTACTTTCACCAAGATTCATCAGACTCATGTTCATTGCCTTGATAAGTGTTATGTGGGTGGACCCGAGCTAAGGTATTGTTCTTACTTGAACAAACACACACTTACGATTATACCCTCCATACAAGTATTCACAAATACAAGATAAGTAATTAAGATAAATCTAACCATAACATTAAACAAGTGGATCTAAAACATACCCTCACGAACAATTCATAAATTGGGGTTTATATTTCTATCTCTCCCGCAACCCATCATCTACAAACTAATTCCGCAAGCCCTTCCCTTGACCCAAAAATGGTAAAGTGTCATGTAGTTGACATTTACATAACACCACTAGAGAAAGAACAACACAACATAATATCAAAACATTGAACGACGATCAACTTCACATGATTACTAATAACAAGACTTCTCTCATGTCCTCAAGAACAAATAGAACTACTCACAACTCATCATATTAGACATGTTAGTAGGTAGAAATATGTGATTAACAATCTGAACATAATAATTTTTTCACCAAATAAACTAATTAGCATCAAATAAAAGATGTAATCAACACTACTAGCACCCCGAGGTATCAATCTGAGGTTTGATACAAAGATTGAACACAAGAGAGAAACGAGGAATTATAGATGAGATGGTGTTGATGAAGATGTTGATGAAGATGATAATGAGAGGGGCGTTGGTGATGACGAAGGCTTGGATCTCTCCCTTTCAGGGGAAAGTTTCATCGACAGAATCGCTCCAGCGGAGAGCAAAAGTTCAACTCCTCCGTTTCTGCCTGGAGACGGCAGCGACAGGTCCTAAAAGTATTCTCCTTATTTTTTCTAGGGTAAATAGGGTTTATAGCCAAAGGACGTCGGGATGGGAGTGATATGTCTCCAATGTATCTATAATTTTTTATTGTTCCATGCTATTATATTATCTGTTTTGGATGTTTTATATGTATTAATATGTTATTTTATATTATTTTGGGGACTAACTTATTAACCTAGAGCCCATTGTGAGTTTCTATTTGTTTTCCTTGATTTTGAGCTTTATAGAAAAGGAATATCAAACCGAGTCCAAACGGAATAAAACTTTCGGGATGATTTTTTTGGACTAGAAGACATCCACGAAGCTTGGAGAGGGGGTCATAAGAGTCCTGAGGGACCCACAAGCCCTCAGG